ATTGTTTCATCTGACTAAATATTGAAAAGCGTTGCAACGCTTTTAGATAATCGGGGAAAGAATAGCACACAGATAAGACTTTCAATTCATTACCGAGTATATTTCTTAATTATCTTGTTTAAAGTACTCCAAGTGATTTATGTTCTACGTTCAAATTTTATGTTATAAGGCTTTTGGACCTCAGTGGAGTACCTTTAATATCATATATACATGACACGAAAAGCCGTACACGGTCGATTTTGAAATGTACATGTACAAAGTCTTATTCGCATACTCTATAAAGGTTACAAATTAATACATTTTCTAATGTGATCATTAAACAAATAATTATCATTCACTGCATAACGACGACTACTCGTAAAATACATTCTTTCATGTTGATTTATAGAACTGTTTATATATACAAATGTACATTAATATATGTCTATATTTAATGCATGTTTCGCCTGAATAAATATGACCCGGCAGAAAACAACTGTATTACACTTAGTGCAATCGATGCAGGGGTTATATCAATCACCATAGTGCGGAATATGTAAATATGTAAATATGGAATAAAATCCGACAAGATAATAACAATTTATTAGAAAGAAGTTATAACAAGAGAATCTACATCTAATACCGTACTATACTTGCTTTTGACTCTCATTGATTCTACTTTACTTGTATTTCTACTATACTTGTGCTTGACTCTCATGGATTCCACTGTACTTATTTTTTGATTCTCATTGGTTCTACTTACTTGTATTTCTACTATACTTGTATATTGAATATCATTGATTCTATTATACTTATATTTGACTCTCATAGATTCTATGTAATAGATATACCATTGCTGCGTTGACGATTTCTGGGTTTGCGTAAATTATACCATAATCACGTGACCTTTCTTATGCCTTAACCTCACGAGACGAAGTCGAGTGAGGTTGCATAAGAAAGGTCACGTGATTATGGTATAATTTACGCAAACCCAGAAATCGTCAACGCACCAATGGTGTATCTGTTTTAACCTATAGCTCCGCCCAGAAACACTTACTCCTTCGATCTTCAAAACTGAAAATTATACCATAGTCTGGGTATGGTATAATTTACGGTTATTGGGAATTATACTTGGAAGAATTTTACATAAGAAGCGCTGAAGAGCTATAGGTTAATATACTTATATTTGACTCTCATAGATTCTACTATACTTGTATTTGACTCTCATAGATTCTACTATACTTGTATTTGACTCTCATAGATTCTACTATACTTGTATTTGACTCTCATAGATTCTACTATACTTGTATTTCTACTTTACTTGTATATTGAATATCATTGATTCTATTATACTTATATTTGACTCTCATAGATTCTATTATACTTGTATTTCTACTTTACTTGTATTTCTACTATAATTGTGTTTGACTATCTTGGATTCTACTTGATTTGATCAGACTTCGTCTCCTCATAAGATCCTGATTAGAGTCAAATACAAATTCCAGATTAAGACCTTATCTAATGTTTCATTTTCTTTCCTAAATATTGAAATTCTTTATTACGTTAAACTACTTAAATGAATTGCATATATTTCTTCCGCATACACTATTAAAATAAACCAAGTTCAAATTTGGTGCCGTTAATATGTCTCGTAAAGATCGATACAGAGTTAACTGTAAACGTGATACTTATGTCATACATTTATGTAGCTTTAAACCTTCTTTTCTGATAAAAGAAAAGACCTCGGTTTATTTGCATTTGTTTTGATTTCTTTCGTTGAGGATAAATATATATATATGAATTTTTGTACATATTTTAATATATTTTTTTCTTTGCTTGTTTATACTTTTCGAGCTGATCTTTGTTTATTACATTTGTATTTATGTAAACTGTATATATGACTCTTAGTACTACCAAATATTATACAACATGTATATTTATGTTCAAAATCTCTGACAATGTGTTTTTGTTTTTGTTTTTTGTTTCCAGAAGATTAGAGCGCTATAATTGTGCTCACCCAAAGGTCGGCGTCATACTTTTGTTTACTTGCGTGCAAGTTTGTATCTCCAAAACTACCGGTTGAAACTTCATACACTTTTACATACAATTTTATTCATTATATTTGTATTATTGAACATGTTGAAAGTCTTTTTTCTGATTTAATTACACAGCACTGAGCATTATTTTGACGCGTATGCGCGGATATTGTAGTGGTTGGGCATATAGTTGGAAACAGTTAAACAAGGGAGATAATCTAGTAAACATCAACATAATTCAGACACAAAATAAGTTAGAACATAATGATTTTAGTAATGACATCCAAAAAATTATAAACCACAAAGAGAAGTCATAAGTTTTTTGTTTCTAGCGTAGGTTTAAATCGAAATAACATTTACGGTCCATGTATTGTGTCTACGGTTTTTATACGAACGTTGACGGAAAGGCCCGAAGAGATACGATTAAACGAATCAAAATGTTTGTTAAAAGATAACTTACGTTTTTAGACCTCCATCCTCTGTATAGGAAAGCTTGTTTATAGTTAAACTAGAATCGTTAGATAAAAGTGGTTGCTTTTCGTCCACCTCTTCCATGGTTAAAATTTGAATTCCCTTCACGCAATTTATAGTTGTTATAACAGATAGTCAATATATTATACGTCTATCATCAAAATAAAACTTCAATATAATAAAATTTGCTTTTTGTCTAAGTGTTATCCTCAACAACGTTTTGAATGTTTACATAAAATGCTAGTATCTGTGAAAGAAAATATGTCTTTTAAGTAAATATCTCTCACTGTTTACTTAAAAGAAATGAACCATGAAAGCTGAATGAATACTATTGAAAGCTTATTGTTTATTGTTTAGTCAATTTTCAAATCCTTGTGAAGTAAACTCATGACTGGCGAAATGTAAATTGATATTTCATCACAATTATTATATCATATATATAACAAATGATAATGTATCGACTAAGTTAAACTTTGATACTTTTGAAACAAGATAAACTTGATGGTGAGTAAATGGAGCGTGTCAAAAACTTCTAAATATATAATGCATGCATATAATAACCAAATTATCAACTTGCTGTAAAACATCTTAAAATGTGAATTTTATGATAAGTGTGGCTTGCGTCTGCCTTTTTTCGTTCATTCTTTCCTTCCTTTCGTTCGTTTGTTTTTCTTCCTTTCTTTCTTCATTCATTCATTCGTTCATTTTTTTCATTCATTCATTCATTCATTCATTCATTTATTTATTCAAGCTATACATTAGGTATTATATAATGCAATGTTGTTGTTGTTATTGTTGTTTTTTTAATTATAAATTGTCATTCAAATATAAACTTTTAACTGATATAAAACTGTATTTTCCATTCTATGCATACACTGTCTCCATTATTTAGAAGAGAACACTTTATCAAACTAGGAGGGGCAGGGGGAGGGGCGAGGGGGCAGAAAATTTCTCAATAAATGAGCTGCTATTTTTTTTCTGTTAAAAAAATAACACAAAAAAAACATGCTTCACATGCACTTTTATGCAATAGACTAGCTTCGCTCGTAATACACAAATAAATATACATGATATGCAGTTTTTAACTTCGATTAAAACTATATTCGATCCAAACGACATGAATTAAAAATCAATTGCACATTATCAGAGCTTGTTTTATGTTTAACATGTTTTTTTTTATAAGTAACATGTTTACTTTTCGTCTTTCTAATGTGGAATGCATATCATTATAAAATGCGTAGCGTTTTCGTACATATTGATAAGATATAAAAGTTAGTTACATGCAATGAATATAATTTTTAATGAATTTACCAAACTGTATACTGCAGATCGGCAAACCGTTCAAGTACGACACGCACTATTTCATTCAAACTATGCATTTATAAAAAAATATCTCAAATATAAATCTGCCTTTATAATCGACTTAAACTATATAATGCACTTAGTAGTATAACAGATTATGTTAGTATATCATTAATTAACCTATATATAACTATGTACAGTACTATATCATGTATGAATCATATGCGTACATACTTGTCAATGCTATAAATAGAAATTACAGGTACATCACGGAATGATTTCATTGTCAATACACAAAGGTTAAAAAGTAGCGTAAAGTTACGCTCTCTAGGTCATCGTCATCACGTATCGAATAAGTTTGCTATATGACTAATACCGATGTTTAAATACCCTCCTAAGGATATACACAGTACGTTCATTATACGTATTTACAATCTATAAGTCAATATGTAGTTTTAAGAGCTGTATAAACATGCATTTAAAGATAAGAAATTTAATAATTGTCCCTATATATGTTAATGCCTATGCTATTGTTGGCGACGCCGGTGAGCGGCGTCGTCTATTATGGAATGCTTTTTATTTTTGCCTATGGAAGGAGCTGTTATTATTAGCAGTTAATTTCATGTTGTGTTAATTAGTTTTATTTTGATTCGTAAAAATCACGTAAACAAATGTGTTGTTATATTTGTATTTAATAACTTTATGTAAAAAGCATGTGCATTGTGATATTATTTTCACGAAATTGCAGGTTAAGTTTAACAGCTTGTCCCTTAGTTTTAATGACAATACTAAAACCCGGATTTCGAATATCGTTGTGGTCTAGATTGAGGCCGTATCAGTTCATTCATTCATTTATACATTTTTTGTTTATATGTAGCGGTCTTCTTTATTTAAGATTTACATCATTAGTTACTTGATACACTTTAAGATGCTTTACTAACAACAATATAAACGTTTATCTATTACTGTACTTGCTAATTAGATTTTGTTACACACTTATAGTACGCCCATAGTTTAATTTGCTCTACTGCATTATTAAAAAAGAAAAAAAAACAAATTTCTTTATCGACTATTCAATTTTCCGTCATGTATTTAAAAATAAGAAACAAAAAATCATTAAGCAAATAAAACACATAGAAAACCAAAACGATAATAATTTTTCCAAAAAATGAATAACACAGGAATGAGAATAAAAAAATATTGCCTACTTACCCCTTTTCACTGCCTGATTGAGTGTATGACGCCTTATTAATCGCAAGACTCGCATCTTTTGATATAAGCGGTTGTCTTTCGTCTGCTTCGTCCATTTTTCACACACAAAAGAAATCTAGTCTCCAATTTTTACAGTTAAACATGTATCGATTTTATGGATCGAATAAACATGAGGACGAATTTTCCGGTTCGCTCACTGCGTATTTCGTAATTATGATTTCCCAACAGGCAACACAGTATACTTTTGTCGTTCATTACCTTTATCTGTAATTAGTTATTTATAATAATAGATGCAACAAGATAGATCCTAATAAGGAAACTACAAAGTTTAAACTTATCTTATAGTGGTATAAGGGACAGTTTAATATTGTTAAACAAGAGTAGGCACATTGTTAAAACATTATAGATGAATGATGTAATGGATGATGTGATGAAAGATGTGATGATTGATGTGAGAAATGATGTGATGGATCATGTGTTGAATGGTGTGATGAATTATGCAATGCATGATGTGATGAATGATGTGATGATTGATGTGATGATTGATGTGATAAATGATGTGATGATTGATGTGATGATTGATGTGATGAATGATGTGATGATTGATGTGATGAATGATATGAGAAATGATGTGATGGATCATGTGTTGAATGGTGTGATAAATGATGCACTGCATGATGTGATGATTGATGTGATGATTGATGTGATGATTGATGTGATGACTGATGAGATAGATGAAGTGACGAATAATGTGATGAATGATGTGATCTACGATAATATGAATGATGTGATGATTAAAGTAATGAACGATGTAATAAATGGTGTAATGAATGTTGTGATGATTGATATAATGATGAATGTAATGAACGATGAAATAAATGATGTGATGAATGATGTAATGATTGATGTGATGATTGATGTAATGAATGATGTGATGATTGATGTTATGATTGATGTGATGAATGGTGTGATGAATGATGTGATGATTGATGTGATGATTGATGTGATGGTTAATGTGATGATTTATGTAATGAATGATGCGATTATTGATGTGATTAATGGTTGATGTAATGAATGATTTGATGTGATAGATGATGTGATGATTGATGTGATGAATGATGTGATGAATGATGTAATGATTGATGTGGTGATTGATGTGATGAATGATTTAATGAATGATGTGACGATTGATGTGATGAATGATGTGATGATTGATGTGATGCATGGTGTGAGGATTGATGTGATGATTGGTGTGATGAATGATGTGATGATTGATGTAATGAATGATGTGATGATTGACGTGATGATTGACGTGATGATTGATGCGTTCATAATTCGGATTCAAATAAGGATATTTGGTTCTATAATCGGCTACTTTGGTACCATATATTGAAGAATTTATATCATAATAATTATTATATTGATAAAATCAACTTATATATAGCTACCTTGGTTTCATACAATGGCGGCATGGTTTCATATATTGTACTTTGGATTTATATAATGGTTTCCGGTTTAATAAGAAGGTGTTTTCAATTCACATATTGTCGAGGTGAACTTATAATTATATTATCAACATGGTTAAATTAATTGAAAAAGAACACTATAAGACAGCCATGGATATCCATAAGAAAGTTGTTTCTTTTTCTTTTTTACTGGTTCTCGAGCGTTTTCATTTCAGTTTTGTCCTGGCCATTAAGCAAGCGAGAAATTGCTTTATAAGTTTGTTTTGTTTCCTATTTTTGCCTTTACTTTGAATAGAGCAACCGCGAAGTAAGGCATAAATGGATGTTTTCTGCTAAAAAGTGAGGATCGATCTCAGACATTGACCTAAATAACCGCTGACTCTGAAAGCATGTGTCATAAGTAGTAGCCAGATAAGCTATTAAAAGTTATTCAATCAGGAAAGCCGGTTCAATAGTCGGTCCCTTGGCTGAGAAATTGGTAGCTATTGGTAAGTTGTCCGGTAAGATGGATCATAATATAATTAGCGTTAGAACCAACCAATGAAATACACAAACAAAATATACATACAATTAGTTACAATTGGTTTCTAAAGTCAGTCTAGGTTCTTGGAAATGATTTTATGATTGTTGCGTCTTATTGACCTTTTACAACGCGGTCCGTTGCTATAAAAAATCGATCGGAAGTAGTTTTTTCTCGCGCATGCTCAATCTGCGAAGGGCGCAAATAGAATTGCCCTACATAGAAATATAATAGAAGTTCATAGACAATTCCGAATTAGTTTAAAGTAAAAAGTATAAAAACTATATGAAATAGCTTTTTACAAAAATATAAAAGATGCCATTATAGCTTTGTGACTCAAAATTGAAGTCACATAAATATATTTACATCTTTTTTTTCAAAAAAAAATGTATTGAAAAATTAAGATGGGTAGTGAAATATAACACTTTTTATCATCCGATTTCTCCTAACACGTGTAAATGCACGTCACACTATTTGTCACTTCAAAAAATCAATAAACATTGATGAGTTTGGTACATGTAAAAGTTATTTTAATTACGATTTTCATTATTTTACATGATTAACTATGTCATGGTACTAAAACGTACCGGTTGAATGATTTGTAAACTAGCTGGAAATAACTACTTTATCTGTTTGACACTTACCGCCTTGCCGATGGAAGTGTAAAATACAAATTGTGTAATATTATGTAATACAAGGGTAATAAAATGTTATCTTAAACACCATGCTGTTTCAATTTAAATTTCTGATGGAAAAGTCGTCTTATAATATCTTAAAAATATTACTTTTGTACATGCGCTGTTTCATTGAAATATTAGTCGCTTATAGTTTCGTATATCTGTTAAAGATACAATTCACGTTTTAAGTACTTTATTCTTAAAGTCATCTCAAAATTACTGTTTTCTGGGTGCATAACTTGAGATCGCGTCTATTAAAGCTTTAAGATATGATAAATTGTATACATAATTACTGCGCTTTTGCCCTACGCAGAATGCGCATGTGCGAAATGCAACATTCGTTACTATGGAAAAACCGTAATGTAAACAGTTTTTTTTCAATTAATATATTTTTTTCTAATTTTGTAATTATCTCAAGTCTTGTTGCAGTCAATTATTGGGTATCTTCCAAGGCCAATAAAATCACTTCCTTATTTTGATACATGAGTATATTTCCTTAATTCACAACGTGAGAAAAGTCAATAACTTTTAATTTAATCAAAGAACTAAAGCCTTCAAGTTTAAGTAAACAATTCAAAACTCGAAAAGGCATTTTAAAGATAAGGAAATGAAGAACGAGGAGAACTCAAAGGATCATATTTTGAAATGCATATACAAAACTTAGCTGCATTCAAGGTTAATTAAACAGAGTGGAATAAACTTAATGCGGAAAACATTCGATGTATTTCGCCACACCTTTCGAAATTTTTAATCGTTTGTTTTGTTACACATTTGTAACACATTTATAAAAAAATCCATGCTTCACAATGACAGCCTTAGAATGTCATCTGATTATGAGATTTCACCGAAATTATAACGAAAATATGCATAATGAACATGAACAAATGACTAATAAATTTCAAGAACATTTTATCTTAATATATATATTTGTAAACACAAAATGTCACTATTTTCGTGTCCGAATGTAGAGTTCTGCATACGCCGGTGCGAGATGGCATTGACGGTAACTTTCACTTTCAATTTCCGTCCATGAACAGTCTTGTTAGATATTAGGCATGTTACTGTAAGACGTCTAATAGACTTTTGGCACAATTACAGTACAAAGCATTTTACCGCGACGTGACGTTGACTTAACTTTTGTCATGTTTTTGTACATTTGAAATTAGAGTTGGAAAATACAGGCATTGAAATAAGGCGTTTATTTAATAGTTAACGCCATCCCGATAAGCTTACTGCAATATTTTTTATTATGTCGTTTTATGCGTTCTTTGGGTATTCAGCTTTTTCTCTATTTCACAGAACAAAACCTTTTATCAACAGAAAATACCACTAAATTTCACAAAACAAATAGTTTTATTTATTCAGAGTAAAAACTCATGAATATTAACAAAAGCATATTCTTGTATCTACAGATAACTCCAACGATGGTAACATTTAAATTTTGACTGAGGAAGATCGCATGGGAACACGGAATGGGAAGTAACAGAGTCGACGAAGTGTTTGAGGAAATGATGTCCAAGAAGGATGAAAACAAGTGATCACTGTTGCCAAAACAAAACTTATGCTTTCTTATAATAAAAAAATCAACTGTATCAGGAAAGCTTCAGACAGACCCGTTGAATTTTGCAATGGATAGACAATCTTAATTCAATGTTGATAAGAAGTTGCATACATAAACAAAGATAATGTTTTGTGGCTATAACTAATAAGAATATTTGAGAGTTTTTTTTTTACATGAAGAGGTCTCTGAAAACCTTTTTCACACCAAACAAAAGGAATCAAAAAAGCCATTTACGTGATAGATAAAGGACTTAACTGTATATAAATAATGCAATACACATTATTAATTATTCTAGATGAAAAAAGAAACGTTTACACAGAAGATATTTTACTCATTCCGCAGATATCTTGCTCCATTCGCAGATATTTTGATGCTCCGTCCGCAGAAATTTTGCTCTGATTACTTCAACATTTATCTCATGTTTCTCTCATGTGTCTTATATTTTACAAATCATCATACATATTGAAGTTGACCCATACTGAATTTATCTACTAACATCTTACTGCCTGCTTCTATACGATTGTTACTATTGTGTCTGCGAGAACGCCGGAACTTGGCACCGTACCGATTCTGGTAGGGAAAACCGGTTAATAAAATCTTCTTTATATCATGCAATTGAAGGCAGGCATAAACAAGAGGTTTACCATATTGCTCATAGGGACATACCGAAATACCTGAGGCTGACAATTATGCTTAACGGTACAGACGGAGTTATGTTTTTGAGGGAATACGAAATTACTCGAGGGTACCCATTGTATTTCTCGGGGTATACGGGAATACCAGAGCTTTGTCATAATGCTTTTTGTCATTCATTTCAAAAGAGGACATACAGATGATGTCAAGAGTTCAACCTGTAAAGCTAATTTAACAAAACATAAAGAAAAACATTACTTTACAGTCAATCGTTATAAACAGCATTATATCATCATTTTATTATTATTATTATCATTATTATTATTATTTATATTATAATTAGATTCTATTATTATTA